TGCAAAAGCGCCCCCTGGTGGTTGAAGAAAAATCCACAGAAAAGCGGCACCAGGCAATAAGCCGCATGGTTCAAAGCTGGGGAAAAAGCGGCGGCTTATAGTCCGAAAAATACGGTAACTAATTCTTTGCTAAAGTCAGATACATTGAGATAGTTTGTTAAAATAAGCTACACAGGGGCGCTGTATTACCAAATATATTAAATAATTCTCCTTAGCTGCTAGAGCTGACCTGGGGAAAACCTTTTCCCGCAATGGGAGGTGCGGAAGAGAGGAAAAAAACAACTAAAGTGAGTATGAATCAGTAGACTTAGATTTCAGAAAGCAAAGCCTGAAACCGACTCCTTTTTAAGATTTACCGACAATGTTTGGACTGAAGAAAATAAATAAAAAAAGCAGCACAAAGCCAAAGCAAGTGTTTGAAGAAAGCAGAAAAAAAAAGGATCCGGAACTACAAAGGCACAGATAACCAGAAAAATAGGTTAATTCAATCTGCACCTTCGTAAAAATGGAAACGGTGCATTAAATAGCAGGCGAGGAAAGCAGTGGTTCATTTTTATTAGTCAGTTTTTGCCAAAGTTGGCTTCAAGACCTCTGGTGATTAACCTGGAGATGCTCTCCATTAAATAAACCCCGACAATAATTCAAAGGTGGTGTGCAGGAACAACATCTATAAACCTCAAGTCATCAAGCTACCGAGGGAACGTTTCAGATCACAAATCCTGCTTCGAATGAAATGAACGTTGAGTATTAAACAAGATCTGTAAGGAAAACGTAGCACTGAAGTCATCATTCCTAATCTTCTCAAAGGGATAAAGGTGTTTCTTGTAATTTATCCCCGATCTCTATTTTTGAAGGCATGATATATTTTTTCCCAAACGTTAATCCAAGCCCAAGGTAAAAGCGAATTTGCAGCTGCTTAGAGTTCGCCTGCTTGCTTAAGGCTTAAATTTAAACAGGCCAGGTTGCACCGGTAGCACTGAAGAAAACATTCACAGGTTGAAAGTTATGCTGACAGAGACTCGGTTTAACACTTAATCCAAAGTGGAAAATGTTAAAACAGATAAATCAGAAATAGTAAGGCATGTGATTGTCTAACAAAAACTACAAATTAATTCATTGTTAGCTGTAAAACAGAAGCTTTCAGGTTTTATTCTATGGCTTATCCTTCAGCTTACGCAGGCGTATCAATAAATCAATAATACATATCCCAATCAATATCAATAGATAATACATCTGAACAGCACAGCATTCTGGGAGATGTAGGCAGAGGAAAAGGTTTAGCTGCTCAGCCTATCAAAGACAGCTAAGCACGTTTAGTGGAATCAACTGACTCACTCACTCTTTGGTTACCTAGCAACTCACTCTTTGGTTACCTAGCAACTCCCTCATTCTATCGTTACCTAGCAACGACCTGTTGAGTAGCCGCATAGTAATAAACGAGGCGGAGCGAAAACTGTGGATAAAACGGGAAACTACCAGAATTTATTATCTTTAAAACAAAAACAAAAAAACAATAAAAACAATAAACATTAAAATAAAATTACATAAAATGTTTATGTCATGATACGTTTTTCCACTTATGCTTTATTTTGACAAGTACTGTCATATGTTTTTGATAATTGTTAGATTTTTCTCTCATGTTTTTCATTTGCCATTTATGTTTTGACTGTAGTCTAATTTCATTTTTAGGTTTTTATAAAGTGTAAACAGCAAACAAAGAATGAGCTCTGATCAGACAAGACAATGTCTGAAACATGGCGGTGGCAGCTTTATGCTGTGGGCGTACATTTTATCAGCAATGGCATGCAAGTTGGTCAGAGTGGATGGAGCTAAATACAGAACAACAATGGAGGAAAACACTCGAGACCGAGGCAATGGAGTGGCTTACATCAATGTTTTTCAATGTGCTAGATTGGCCTAGTCAAAGTTCAGATCTAAAACCAATTGAAAATCTGTCGCAAAGCTTGAAAATTCAGATTTGCTGAGAAATTATCTGGTCAAAGTTTGAGCTTTTTGCAAAGTCTCTAGACATGAAAGCTAGAAGAGATGTGCCTCCAAAAATCTAAGTAATTGCAATGAAAGGTGGTTCTAGAAACTACCGACTCAGTTACGCACATTTAAAAAAAATAAAAAATAAAACAGAAAGTTATGGTTGTAACATGATAAACTGTCGACATGAAAACAATTTCACCGCACATCTCTTGGTGAATTGATCCATTCCAGCTCCACTGGACCATTTTTCTCCACAGATTAAACGCTGCCGTCTGATAGTCCATTTCTCCTTCCATGTCCCTGTCCTTCCCTCCCTCCACGCCTCTCTAGACAGAGTGTGATAATACAGGCCTAATCCCTCTCTTCTCCCAATCCCTCCGTCAAATGAAAGAAGGGATATAAGCACATTACAAATCTCATTACCAGGCTTTAGGTACGCCTGTGAGCGCCGCCTGTGCTGCATACCGCTGCCTCATCAGCTGCTTACAGTAGGTGAGTGGGGGGTTTGTGCACAACGCTGACGACGTCCTGTTTGTTCATACTGTATCCATTACACCTCGAGTGTCTTTAATTTGTTCCTGTGTGTGTGTGTGTTTCATGCAACAAGTGAGACGGGCAATAAATGCTTTAAACACCAGAAATAACCTGCATGTCCAAGATGAGAGAAAAACACCCAGCGGAAACACAAACATGGGAAACGATCCCGTCTCGTCCACTGAGCGTGTTTTTAGATGTCAGATACAATCAGTCAGTTCATGATTATGGTGCGTGTCGATGCAGGCATCCACCAAACGGGCAGATGTTTGAATTTATTTCAAACTGCAGGACAAAATAAAGCCCAACGAATGCTGAAAATATCACAACTAAATGCGACAATCTGGAACTTGAGACAAACTTTAAAGACTTCTTCATGTTTTCTTAAGAGATTTTTTGGAGGATTTCAGCAGTGCCTTGACCCATTCAAAGGATTTCTTTTTGATAAGCCAGTTTAAGTCCAACAAACAACCACAAAGTCTTTAAGATGGAAATTTCATCATCTGTACCGGTCCGCCAGGGTCCACAAGGACTTGCTGCATGTGCCAACAGCAACAAAAACACTTCTGTTGAGTCATATTGTAAAATAATGAGGGGAAAAATAACAATAATGCTTGTTTTCAAGAAAAACAGTTTGTTGGTTTCCTTGCTTGAACAATTTTTCTCTCAGGGACCAAAAAGACAGAAAACAGCATCAATATCCAGGTGAGAAATCCCAAAGGTCCTTCCTTTCAGTTTCCTGAATATGGACGCTTTTAGAGGCGTAGAGAAAAATGCATCTCTCTCATCAACCCGTCACTCTGTTGTGTACCTGACTTGTAAACTGCAGCAAACCAAAATAAATAAAGATTGTTTTATTGTAGTCTTTGGAGCTTTAAAACTTAACATCATGCAATATGTAGCCTTTTGACGTGTTGTCAACCTGCTGAACGAGACGAGGTTGAACTCTAGACGGTTACCAAACCCAGCAGTGAAACATTTGGTAACCACAAATAAGGGTTTTTAAGGAGTTTTAAAAACGTAATCCAAACTGTAAACTCATCTTTTTGGTATTTTTTTTAAACATAGTCTTTTATTTATGCAACATCTAGAAAATACAGCTGCTGTTACAGTTAGTGATGCTAATTGGATATTAAAATCCTTCCACTGCAGCTAACAGCCATCTAAAAGCCATTTTCTTGTGGATTTTTGTGCTATAAATGAACACAAACCACTGAAGTGGACACTAATGCATCGTACAACACTGCCAACTACTGGCCATCCACTGGAACTGCAAGAAATGGTTTGTTAAATCCAATATGGCGGCAGAGGGAAAATCAACTCAGGTATATCGAGGCCCTCCTTCTACTCTTGCAGGTAAAAGAAAATAATATTGCATGGTGACCTCTGAGATGTTTACTTTTCTCAACCTTTTTGAATATATATGCAACTTCTAGCAAACACAAAGCCTGACTTTGCAATCCTATAGATACATATAAAGTGTCTCAATACCCCCAACATATGTGGAAATTTAGAAAATATTACAGCAGATTGTGTTATGTGGTTGTAATAACACAAATGCAGGCATACACAACTCTGAGGTTCCAGTGGAGACTTAAAATGAAAACTTAAAAGTATGTAAAAGACCTAAACTCCAAACTATGGTTCTGTTTATTTCACCAAATTCAAAATGGGCCATTTGGTATTTACTTAAAAGAAATCAAATATAATTTTTTCCCAATACTTTAGATCAGTTCAGGTGCATCAGATCTTTACTGCATTTCTTTTTACTGATTTTTACAGCAGGTATTTTTCTTTGTGTTAATATTTATACAAAAGAACAAACTCTGGAAGACCTTGCACAAACATTGATTAAACCACTAAAAGAATAGTCAATGTCTCCACAATGAACATTGCACAACTGTGGCATAATAAAAGATTTTGTGGTTGGCTTTGAGAAGGAGGGAAGAAAACCCTCAGCGCTGCACTCCAGAGTTTTTAAGTAGCTCAAAGAGCGCAGCAAGCTCGCCGTCTCTTCCCCTCCAAGATGTCAGCTGTGCAGAGGAGGAAGGAAAGTGGAGAACTTCTGCCTTGGCGAACAAAGAGCTGTGATCACTGCTCAGCGGAGCACTGAGGGCTGAAACCCTTCCCCTCCCAGAGAGCGAACCGGGCTGTTCAGGAAGGCGCCTCTCCGCCTGCAGCTATCGGACGGCTCGACAAACCCATTTGTCTTTTGGTGGGTGCTTTTCCTCCAACGTAGATCTACGTTGTTTAAATTTTTAGCTCTGGTGGCCTCTGGAGAGCGAAAGCCCCTCGCTCTCTCTCTTCCAGCACATCTTTCTTTTCTTCCGCAGAGAAAATGTAAATAATTCAACAGGGATGATTCACTGCGAAGCCATTGTTTATGATTCAGTGACACCGTCTTGCGTTGCGGCACGTTATAAATATATTTCATTAACTATACATCGTCATTAGGGGAGATGTGACCGACGTACCCATGGTGACGGCCGGGACGACCGGGTCGGTGGAGGAGGGCTTCGCCTTGACTGGAATAGGTGTGGTCGGTCCATTAACCATCACATGACCTGGACACCAAAATAAGTGAAACATGTCAAATGCACGGCAACACAAAGCACAGAAACAAATAACATTACCATTTCTCTTTCCTTTTGTAGGTTTGAAGTATTCAGCACAAATATTGAATTCTCTTACGACCCAAGGCTTGCTGCAAGGCATTTATTTATACCATTGATTTGTTTTTGTAAATCAGGTCTTACTTTTTGCTTAGAAAATATGAAAATCTCTCATCTACGAGTCTGAAAAGAAATCATGCCTTTAGCTCTTGAACGTTAATACATTTCACAACTCTGAAGTCACAGAAGCAATCACCAACCGATGGCTTTGCTCCAGACGCACAGCGAGTTATTAACCTTCAATTTGTGCTTATAGAAACCCGCCGTCGCTCTGCAGTTTGACCGCATGAACTACACAGCAAGCGCACAATCCCGATCAGGAAGACTGTGATGTCCTGGTTTGATCAGGAGGCGATTATCACACTGACCGAGGTAGTGCAGCAGCTTCTGGGCTCGGTTCTGAGTGGGTTTGAGGTTGAACAGTTCTGGGTTCTCGTCGATGAACTGGGTGTCCACGGTGGAGTGCAGGAACTGGTTGTTGGACAGGACATTCTGGAGGAACGGGATGTTGGTCTGGAAAAACAACAGAAGACGCCAAGATGGCTTTAAACAGCTGGAACTGATTTCAGTCTCACTCTTGCAGCAGATACTGGCGGAGGATTCGCCCACCAAATAGTTTATGATGTGAAAAACTGCTACATTACAAAACAAGCATCTTCTGAAGCAACAGGAAGGCTGGATAATACAAGTTTTATTTTATTCTTTTGAACTTTAAACCATTACCTGGAAGAGTATAAAGGATTTAGAAATATTGGAAGACTGACAGCAAAACTTCTGTCATAGTAAGAAAAGCTAATCTTGCGAATCACACAAATAAAAATAGTTTAAACCTAAACAAAAATCTCCCTTTAGTATGTTTATTTAGCTACAACTGTGCTAATGATTTAAAAACTATCACCCATTATTAAAAAATTACGATCTAGTATATCTATGTACTACCTAAATGAAAGTTCCTGTAAATAATTTAGAAAACGTTACGTTTTTGATTTAGTTACTCTAAAATAAGTTTTCACTTCACTCATGTTCCACAAATTTATTTTTAAATAAATTATAATTATAGTAGAAAAAGATTAAATCACATCTTCATTACTTTTACTGCTGAAAGCCGACTAAAAACAGGATTTACTCATATTTTACCTTATCTGCTGTTAAAATTAGCAAAGCTAGCTCAATGCTAATTTGACTCATTAAAAACCATCATATGCTAATTGAATTTATTGCACTCAAGTGTTATACGTCCACTTAATTTTCACAATTTGTCAAATTTGGACTTAATGTCTGAAAATATACACATGTACAGACCGATTCTGTCAGCAATGCTCACTGTGCCAAGAACTAATGAAACTTGGTAGTTTAGAAAACAATTATCTCAATTTTAATGCAAAAGTTAATTATTTTATTATCTCTCAGGGTGAACATGTAGAAAGTACAAGCAGCTGATGCAGCTAGCCATGCTAACTTTGTTACTACACTTTACAAGCAATCTAATAAGCTCTTAAATTTTTTGTGTCATATAATTTCACCTACAAAGACAGCGGTATGATGCTTTCACAAATAATAGTTAATAATTCATGGCAGAAAGGCTGTTAAATCATGTTACCAAGTAATTTTGTTGCTAAATAAATTCACTTCCAAGCTTATTTACTAACGTTTAACTCACAAGAAGCAGATTAATGTTTAAAACTAATATTAAAATATCTTAAGGCGGCAAATATTCCCATCACAACATGAACATGTGGCAAAACCACAACAGCACAAAGGCCACTACCTGTGTGTTTTATTACTATTGGCTGCAACACCAGCAGCAGATAATGGTCAAATAAAAGCACCAGATCATGACCCAGAACGCTGGACCTGAATCTGTTCCATTAAAATCTGCTTACAGGGACTATTTTAAACATTTCTTCCATCAAATCAAACACAAAAACAGCTCACTGTGTATAAAACAACATCAGAGAGAAATCATGCTCCTGTTTTGCACTTTAGCCGTATGAAAGGGTGCATTTATTAGAGAAGAATGCTTCATTTGAAGTTCAAACAAAACATACTCCATCTGTACATTGGTAAACAAACCGCAGCTTCACAAAACCTCATTTTAATCCCGACAACCACTGCAGACAAACACACAGAACAGAGAACGTCAGCTGGTGAAATTAATTACATTTAATTTCTGTTTGCTGCAGAATAACCATGGAGCCGATTTAAATCTGCATTAACAAAAAGGGAGAATGAGTGGATGAGAGAAAAACAGAGGGGAGAGATAAGTAATTGTTTTCCTCATTACTTGATTTGTTGCTGTATGGCCTTGTAATTATTGTGGTTGGGCTGCACTTAATTGCCGTTAGAGGTTGAAAGTTGAGGCTAAAGAGAGAAATGAGGGTGACAAAGAAAAAGAAAAGAGGGATTAGAAAGAAGAAAAGCAGAAAGCTGTGTGAAAGGATTTGTAATTATTGGAGCTGCTTTAAATAATAAGTATTTAACAAACCAAAGTAAAGAGGTAGCGCAAAATAAACGGTTTGCTCGTGAATAAAAGCTGTTTTCACACACGCAGAGCTCAGCGATAACGACGGTGAGTCCCTGAGAACCCGCCCGGCGTCGGATCGAGAGCAGTTTCTAAGCTCGTATGCCTCGCGCCCGAACAGAACAACGTCGCTTCAGGAGCTTTAGGACGAATATGCAAACAATCGCCACAGGACGCCTGCGATTCAAAGGAACCGGTTGAGCCGATTCAGTGACCTGGAATAACTCGGGGATCTGTCCGCTTCCACGAGAAGTTTAGCGATAAACAAACCTCGCTGATCTCATTACAGGAGCAGCGCCATCAGAGAGGAGGACCGGCTCGAAAAATCAATGGGATTGTATGAATAAAACAAACGCGCCAGTCAGGGCAGCAGCTCCTAAACAAGACACAGAACTACAGACGAGATTTTATTTACAGCATTACAGACGGAGCCTGATCCAGCCGCTCGCTTTAATGTTTAATTCACCGTCTTTAATTAATGCCGTTAATCCTGGCTGTGGCCTTTTGCATCCATGCATCTCTGTCAATCAGATTTATTTAGGTTATTTTTCACCTAAAGAAGAAAAAAAACACACAATTTTGATAAAGAGAAGCATAACAAGACAAAACTAAAATTCCTACACAAAGTTTAGACCAAGAAAAGTGAAGGTAGGATCATAAGTTTATGGTACTTTTTCTTTTTTATGCATCAGCATCAAAACAGCTGAGTATTTTCTGTATATATTTTTTAAACGCATCTCCGAGGAAATCCAGCTGAGTCTGCAGACAAACTCGAAAAAGAGTCTTAAAGATCAACGGCTTTAAAAAAGTGTGAATATTCTTCATCTTCATCTTGTTCCTGCAGTTAAAAGTCTGTTTGAAGAGACAAGAGAAAGTCTGTAGTTTTCTCTTCTGACTACCCCTCCCCCACATGTTGCTGCACACTGATACTTAGATGAGAAAAAAGCTCCTATATTTTTCCATCATATGCCAAAATACAAAACAAAAAAAAACAAAAAAAAAGAACAAACACATCACACCAAACACTCTTATTCAGGAAGTAAAGTTTTAAAACTACTGACCAGCTGATCAGATAACTAAAATAATTAACTTTCTTTAAATTTAATCTCGAGAATTACTCCTATATTTATTATGTTTGTTTTATTCTGAATATCAAAATGAAAATAAACAAACGGCAAATCCACGATGACGACGCTTCACTTCCTCTCTGACAGCCAGACATGTCAGATAGGATTTCTTACTATTTTATTTCCACAAAGTCAAAATGTCAGATTTAGATTGGACGCAGCAAACACACACACTTCATTCAGAAGCTCCTTTTAGCTTTAAGATATTCTCAGAAAATGTTAATCGTTTCAACACTTTTTTGATCCCCAGATAGAAAACATGCAACAATCAAAGCTCACCACGTTTATGACTGTCTAATTTTATCATCTGCAGTTTACTGAAAGTTCACCAAACATGGACTCCAGCATCAACTGATGCCGATTCATCACTGAACCCCACAGACCAAAACTGCTTCCCTTCAGCACAGAGAAAACTTGTTTTCTTCTATTTCTGAGTTAATGATGGATCTAGTTTGGCTTTTCTGTATGCAGATGCCTCTTCCTGCAGTTCGGTCATAAACACTGAGCGTTCTTCCTGCTCAATTTACCTCCATTTCTGTTCTTGTGCATTTCCTCTGCTGCTTTCAGTTTTCTGTCCCGACTCTCTGATGCCTTCCTTGGTCCACTGTGATGTTTTCCTGCGACAACCTTCCTCTTGTTTGCACTTCTTCAGGATTTAAGACGCAGCTGACTAGAAATCAGTATCTTTTGCTGTATTTCACGTCGATCCTCCTTCCTGGAGGAGTTTTAAGATCCTCTGCACTGTTTCAACCCGTAGTTCTCTTGTTGGGGCCGTGTTTGCTGTCCGTCAGATGTGATAAACCTTTAGGGTAGTTTACCTGCACACTCATTTGCACAGAAAAACCTGTGCAGGTATTTGTTTAAACACAGGCTCTTAAAATGCTTAAACCGCCTAGTTTAGTAGTTCAAACACCAACTGCATTAATATGCATTTACTCTACTGGAAAAGCCAACTTCAAAAGGCTTTCTTATCTCTGCTCTATGTTTTACAGCCAATCAGTGGCAAGGAAAATGAATATGGCTGCTTTGGAAAAGCCACCTGGATATTGAGTTCCCCAAGCTGCATTTTCTGTAGGATATTTTAGATATGCTGCACAAAAACATTTTTCACCAATCTGGAATCAAGTTCCACAAAACAACCTACAAATATTAAGGCGTAAGAGTGAGAAAATAAAGTTTAGCAGAGTCAAATTACTGACTCGACAGCTTGAAAAGTAAGAAATCTATATTTTCATCCAGGCTTGTGCAGCATAGTGAGAATTGACTCACTGTTTTACGCTGAGAGTCCGTTTCACAGCTTTGTTTTTAAAAATCTGCACACAGAAACAACGGTGGCTGTTGTGTCACATCTTTAATAATGCAGCATGAAGGGGCGATAAAAGACGAGCATCTCAAATATAAATGCAGAACTAAGTACAACTGAGAACACCGACTATTTCAGCTGAAGTACAACAACTATGACGCCACAAAACCGTTATGTTGATGAGCGCAATATTAACTCATGCATTGAGCTTTTTATTATCACGCTGTATGCAACAGCAGTCAAACAGGAGGATTTAGCTCCCCAGCCTCCGTTTGTGGGTTTATTCTCTTGCCTTTAAAATATACTACCAGAAACCATAAAACTCCCAGACCTCTGTTCGAAAATTTCATAAACAAGTTTTATTACTCTCTAGATAAAACTACAGGGAGGCGCTGCTTTTCCTGAGAGATAATCATGTTCCCAGCGAGGGAAGAGAGGTTTTTATTATTTGAATATATAGGAAGAAACAACCGACACTATTCACAGCATCTCGCTACGAAGAGGCGCGTAGGAGAGAGACAGAAAAACAAAAGAGAAAAGGCTGTAGCTGAGGGATTCAAGCGGCTGTGCTGTTCTGCCAAGCCTGCAGCTACAAGCCCTGGACCAAAACAAAGAGATCAGTGCAATAACAGCAGCAACACTTCAAAAACATGGGCAGCTTTCTGCACAAACTCCCCTTTTCTATGCCCACAATGCAGCAACTCGACATGCATGAAAGCAGCTTTTATGGAAGGTATATTAATTT